ACATTACATATAGTTACACTCACTGCTATTAAAGAGGACACAGCTTTCGCACATGTTGTGACAGATGGCCAGATCCATAAGTATTTGGACAGTGACACACCACAATTTATTTAAAATTAAGCAGTCAACATATGATTGAAGTGTAGACTTTCAGCTTTAATTCAAGGGGTTTAACAAACATTGCATTAATTTAGGAATTACAGCCATTTTTTACATAGTCCCACCATTTTCACAGGCTCCAAAGTAACTGGACAAACTAACATAATTATAAATACAAGGATTACTTTTAATACTTGGATGCAAATCCTTTGCAGTCAATTACTGCTTGAAGTCTGGAACCCTTGAACATCACCAAATGCTGAGTTAATCCACTTTAGTGTTGATGAGCTCACCAGTGCACTCTTTCTTTTTTAGAATGTACTAAATTATTGATTTGACCACCCCCAAAGGTTCTGCTATCTCTCTGATAAGTTTGATTTGTTTTTTTAGCCTAATAATGGCCCTGTTCACTTGCATTGGCAAGTCTTTGGACCTCATATTGAGAGTTCTCATGAGCAGCTACCAAATGCATATTCAACACTTGTAATCAACTCTAGACCTTTTATCTTCTTAATTTGTCATGAAATAAAGAGGGAACAGGCCAGACCTGGCCATGAAACTGCTTATCAGTCAACTGTCCAATTACTTTTGAGCTTGTGAAAATGAAGGGACTGTGTAAAAAATGGCTTTATTTCTTAAAGGGTTAATGCAAACTTTTTAATAACCCCTTGAATTAAAGCTGAAAGTCTACACTTCATTCACATCTTGATTTGCTTCATTTCAAATCCATTGTGATGGAGTACAAAATTACAAAAATTCTGTCACTGTCCAAAGATGTATGGACCTGACACCAAACGAAAGGCCTGGCTCTAATATTCATGGTTCCCCACTTACATATTCTATATAGTACTGCACATGAAAATGCCCACTAAACAACTGGTGTTAATGTAAATCTTGAATGATGTAGATTATAAGCAGCAACAAAGGTTTTACATAGTTCAGTAGCGACAATTTGCAGTTTTGATTTGAGAAAATGTCAATGCAGTGCTCATGTTCCTCTTTAGAGTGTTCTTAGAATGTTTTCTTAGAAAGCCTCCGTCAGCCTTTTCTCTCTCAGACATCTGCTTTAAGTGTAAGTAGGAAGTACTTATACGTCCTATTTCCACTGTTTCATTCTTACCCCAAAATTAATCAGTAAGCCATGACTGAAGTTTGCTTTTTTAATTTTGCATTGGAGTGAAAAAGTGAATCCCTGTGTTGTGTATACGTCTGTGTCACGGATCACGGAAAGGGGTATTCAAATGTAATATTGACTAAATACTTGCTAAACTTGCTAAAGTGTTGAATGTTAAAGTATATTTTGCAGTTAAACTACTGTTATTTAACTGTTAGCCCTGCCTGTTTATATACGTTTGTATGTTCTTTTGCACTTGTACAGCACTCTAATCAGGCAGTTCTAGAAATGATGGTGAACAGTGCTGTTAAATTAAAAAACAATAGTAGTTTTAACATGCTGCAAAACTTCGCTCTTTAAGAGTTGGACAGTGGCCTGTCACAACCAGACAGGAAATAAGGTCATTCAGTTTATGGAAGTCAAAGATTACACACACACACACACACACACACACACACACACACACATATATATATATATATATATATATATATATATTTAATCTATCAGATCGTTTTTTTCTGACCTGCCTAATGAGAAGGCTGATTTGGCAGCTATCGTGACACATTTACTGTGTTTAGTCTCTGATGGTGTGAATTGGCTTGCAGAGCTTCATTTGAAAATGCCCCCTAAGCAAACAGCACAGATCTGTAGATACTCATTTTTAGTTCCTACACGTGTGAAGCCCAGAGCTATGTATTTCCTGCTGTATTTCCTTCCTTTCTTTGTTTATGGCCACTAAAAATATAAACATATTAAAATATAAAAATAAAAATATATTAAAGAGGACACAGCTTTTGCACAAGTTGTGACATATATATATATATATATACATATATATATATATATATATATACATATATATATTTATATATATGTGTGTGTGTGTGTGTGTGTGTGTGTGTGTGTGTGTGTGTGTATATATATATATATATATATATATGTTTACAATTGTGCCTTAAAGCTTGCAGAAAATGCCATATTTATGTTTGTCAATCCACTTCTTCACAGGTCTACTCAAAAAGTTGATTCTGCTTACACCATTAGGCTAGCAAGTAACTTTCTCTCGTTTATGAAATTATTCAGTGATATACTGTATATATGTAACTTTGTACTGGGTTACACTTTTAGCCAGTGCCAATGTTTTTCATTGTTTCATTGTTTTTTGGAGAATGGAGGGCACACAGGCACACCACACGATTTCAGAAGCACTGAAGCCACACCTGTCAATTTGCTACCCTAGACAGCTGCCTGTGTTGCCTGTCCCATAAACCGTCAATGTCTGCACAAAAAGAAAAGGGTTCCCAAAGCTGTGTGTCACAGTGTGGAGGGTTAGGACAGACTATCTGGCTTGAGCTGATTCTCCAACTCCAGCTCTGCACGGCTTCTTCAGACTTTAATTCGACCTGTAATACAAGCAGGGGTGGGGTGTAATGGAATACAAGTACTGGGCTTAAGACCTTCTAAAGCCTGAATAGACTGATAAATCACTGGGATAATTAATCTGAGCATTAGTAAACTCTTTTGAGGGATGACTGAACTGCGTAGTGAACATTGTGTAGTGGACGTGTTCTCAAGTTATAAGCTTAACTTTGGCATTGTAGTGGACTTGTGCATATGTTCTGTGCCATATGTTACATATCTATCATTAACTGAAAATCACACAGCTACTCATTTAAGTGTAATTTTTTTTCAAGATTTTGTTGTTGGGATATTGTTGGCTTCGGTCATGAAAGGACAATGGGATTATGGGAGCAGGAGTGGACTGAAGCAGGTCAAAATAACGTTGACAATTTTGTGTTTATTTTTGTATTAATTTAATTAATTGATTTTTTTTTTATTAAACATATTATCAGAAGAATTATGAACAAATATGAACAAAACAGCATGAAATAAATAAAAATTATAGCAGAGTTTTTTTCACACATGTACTTGTATTAATATGTATTCTAAATGTTTCTGAATATGTTACTTTTTAAGTATTTTAATGGAATATGTTACTGAATACACCTAGGACAGTGTATTCAGACATCACTACTTTTTCAAATAATTTTGCCCAACCCTGGATACAAGCTAATACTTCATTAATGTGTTTCATCCTCTCTTCCTCTTTTTTTCTTTTAGGGCTGACTATACTCATCTACTGTGGACAAAGTCAAGGTGAATCATTTACATGCTTTTTTCACTTGCATTCATGTATATTTGCACATATTCCTTACATTTAATAAATGACCATGTTTAACAGATGACTACCTTTTAAAAGTGTGGAATATAACTTAATAACGTAATAATTTAATTATTTAGTTTCCTCTTTGTTTAATGAATGAATTCAGACTACAGACTCTCAACACTTGTGCAGATTGACAGCACATATCTCTTGATGCTGAATAATGAAATTGAACTAGGTGAACTGTGTAAATGAACCACCAGTTTAATGTCTCATAAACTAGACATTAAACTGGTGGTTTATTCACAATTTGAAGTATTTTAGACTAGAGGTTATGACAGAAAAAAGTACATGTTTAGATAATAGACTTTAATTATCTATTTATAATTTCTTGTCAGAAAATAACAGTGAACAGCCATTTGATCAAAGAGATTTAGTCACAACTTTTACAATATGAGGCATTCTGGAAATTAATTTTATTTTAAGCTCTCAATGCTATACAGCTTTCTCATTTATTATGGAATTCCACTCATCATCAAAAAGAATCTTCACTTTTACAGCTTCTTAAAAATGATTTGACACTTATAGAATAATATCTTTCTAATAGAATAATTTTATACACGTGCCTCCATAGACAAACTTAAACCTTGAAGAAATCAGGATTTCCCCCTCAGGAAAAAAAATATTTTAACAGTGTAATTGAAAAGTCAGTAGCTCCTAGATTAAAACACAGGGGAAGAAGTAACTGATGTAGTTAAAACTATACTGTTGTCTTGGGACTTTTCCTTATTTGCCTTATTTGTTAAAAATCTATTGTTTATCATGTTTATCATGCCAAAAGAATTATTGACCTTATCAAGTCAAAAGATCTGGTATAAATCTTAAATTAAGACCCCTCATCGGCAATAATCAGAAATAGAGGTCATTCTAAAAACTCTGATTGCCCATCATTTGTGTTCCATCTGTTAAAAGGCCTGTACTAGTTCACAAAGTTTCATATTGTTGTGTCATGCTTGGACTTGGATGATCGTAATATGTAAATGCTCCACAATGAGTGCTCAGCAGTTTCAGAGGGGATCAGCTCAGAGTAGATCCTTTACTTCAGAATAAGTGAGAAACAAAATGTAAAATTCAAGTCAAGTCAAGTCAAGTCAAGTCAGCTTTATTGTCAATACTACAATATGTACAGGTCATACAGAGTATTGAAATTGCGTTACTGTCAGACCCCATGGTGTAGCAATAACATTAAATAGAGAGTAAACAGGAACTGTGTGAATTAAATAGACACTAAATTAACGCTAAACACTAATCGTAAAAATAAACACTAATTGTAGAAAAATAGAATAATAAAAAAATAATAGAAATATAAGAAGGTCCCTGAATTTAACAATAGAGTGACATAAGTGACATAAGGCACATACAGATTAAGGTCTGTGAGATTAAATAGCGCAATTATTAACAGTAGTGCAAATAGAATGAGCTTATGGAGCTGTTAAAGTGTTGAGTGCGTAACAGAAAGTGATGGGTGCGTAACAGTCCCTAGGAATGTCAGAGTTCAGTATTGGGGAGTGGGGGTCAGGAACCTGTGTTTGGGTCCAAACTTTGTGTGTATGGGGGCAGAAAGAGGGGGGGGGGATGGATGAAGCTGTCCCCCAGTCTGCTGGTCCTGGCCCAGAGACTCCGCAGTCTCCTCCCTGATGGCAGCAGGCTGAAGAAGCTGTGTAGTGGGTGAGTGGGATCACCTGCCATGCAGAGGGCTTTCTGGGTGAGATGGGAGCTGTATTGGATGGAGGGGAGGGAGGTGCCAACGATCTTCTCAGCTGCTCTCACGATGCGCTGGAGTGTCTTGCGGCAGCACACGGTGCAGGCGCCGTACCACACGGTGATGCAGCTGGTCAGTATGCTCTCGATGGTACCTCTGTAGAAGGTGCACATGTTGGGGGCTGGGGCTCTGGCTCTTCTCAGTTTGCGGAGGAAATAGAGGCGCCGATGAGCCCTTCTGGCCAGTGATGCTGTGTTGTTGGCCCAGGAGAGGTCCTCTGTGACATGCACACCCAGGAACTTGGTGCTTTTCACCCTCTCCACAGCAGCACCGTTGATGGTCAGAGGAGCATGCAGGGTACACATTCTCCTGAAGTCCACAACGATCTCCTTCGTCTTCTCAAAGTTCAGATGGATTGTTGTGTCTACACCACAAAGCCAGGCGGCTCACCTCACCCCTGCAGTTTGTCTCATCGTTGTTGCTGATGAGACCCACTACAGTCGTGTCGTCTGCGAACTTGATGAAGAGATTGGAGTTGTGCAACGGTGTGCAGTCGTGGGACATCAGAGTGAACAGGAGAGGGCTCAGTACACATCCTCGGGGGGGCCCCTGTGTTCAGTGTGATGGTGCGGGATGTGTTGTTGCCGGCCTGTACTGCCTGTGGTCTCCCAGTCAGGAAGTCTAACAGCCAGTTGCACAGTGAAGTGTTCAGCCCCAGCCTGACCAGTTTGAGAATGAGCTGCTGGGGGATGATGGTGTTAAATGCGGAGCTGAAATCTATGAAAAGCATTCTGATATAAGAGTCTTTTGTGTCCAGATGTGTCAGGGCTGAGTGGAGGGTGGTGGAGATGGCATCATCAACCGAGCGATTTGGCGATATGCAAACTGGAAGGGGTCCAGGGCGGGGGGAAGGACAGACTTGATGTGTTGCATGACCAGCCGTTCGAAGCACTTTATGAGGATGGGAGTGAGTGCAACCGGACAGTAGTCATTGACACAGGAGGGTGCCGCTTTCTTCGGGACAGGGATGATGGTGGTGGCTTTGAGGCATGTGGGGACAGCAGTCTGACTCAGCGAGATATTAAAGATGTCTGTAAAGACATCTTCTGTGCAGGCATCTTGTTGTCTGCCTCAAACTGGGCGAAGAAGTTGTTAAGCTCATTCAGCAGAGAGGTGGAGCTATCACAGGTCTGCGACGGGGGCTTGTAGTCTGTGATAGTCGTGATGGTCTGTATCCCCCACCACAGGCTCCGTGTATCTCTGCTGTCGCTGAAGCGATGGGCTATCCTCCGGGAGTACTGCCTCTTTGCCTTTCTGATGCCGCAGGACGGGTTGGTCCTAGCTGCCCTCAGGCCCACCTCATCTCCTGCTGAGAAGGCAGCATTCCTGGCCTTCAGTAGCCTGTAGATCTCCTCTGTCAGCCATGGCTTCTGATTGGCCCGAACTGTGATGGTCTTGAGAACAGTTACATCCTCAATGCACTTGAAATTCGAAATGAAAAATCAACTTGGAGTCACTTCACCAGCAAATATGACCATCTAGAAGATAAAGAGTATTTAAATCTTTATTTCATCAAGTATGTTTTTTCTGTATCTCTCCAAAAGTGCTTTGGAGTCATTTCACGGGTGTAGTGTAAATGCTGCTTAAGCAATAGAACACGAGAGGTAGTGTGTTATCGTGAAATAACATCATTGTGATTACACATGACCACGAGTGTTCAATTGCTTTTATACAACAGTTAAATAAATAAAGTAGGAAATAAATAAACTGGGCTGTGAACGTGGAACTAACTGTTGTATAATTGCTGTTGACAGGACAGCAGTTTAGAGTTTTACATGTGCTGAAAAACCTGATTACTAAAATCCAGCTAAAATCCAGTTCTCTACATCAGATTTCTTCAAATGATCTTAATTTGATCCAGGGGCAATTCAAGGATCAAAGCTTTAGGGGTACTGTGCACCCAATGAGACCCCTGGCGTTTTTTTTTCTCTTCATGTCTTCTATCATTCTGTAACATTAATTAGCTGCTACGCATACAGACAGTACTAGACTAGCACCGTGGCTTTAATGTCAACACATAGACCTACCAATGGCACAACAGCTGGCTTCTCTCACTCAATTCAAACAGTGGATGATTGTTGATTGACAACTTGCAACATTAGCTTGCTAGATAAAAAACATCAGATAGGCAACAATAACAACAGAAAGAGTGATCTGAGATTCAGTGCAGCAAAAATGAGGACTGCTGCTAGTAACTGTAATGTGTTGGTGCTGAGTGATAAGAAATCCTCGTCTGTGCTACTTACTGGAGCCACCACACTACACAGTCACACTGTAACTGGCTCTAGAGCGCATGTATGTGTGTGTGCTCAGCGCAGCTACTGCATGGCTTCGGGAGAGGGGGGTGGGGAAGAGTAGGAGAGAGAACGTGGATCATAACATTTGCTTCTCAGAGATAAACTTCCATTTAAAAAAAAAGACTTTTTACTCTTACCTTTAGGGGTGCGGGGACTCAGTTTAGGGGTGCTTGACAGGGACTAGACATGCCTGTGATTTGATCTAAGAAATCAGAGTATCCTGTTTACATGACTACTTGAATAACTGGATAACTACTCAAATCTGATAATGATTTTGATACTGATGTGCATGTAAATGCACTCATTGCCAGTTCATTGATAAAACATCTACCCAGCTGAAGGAACTAACAGAGGAGAATCAGAATACATCTTAAGCAGCCTCCGTTAGTCAGCTAAGTTCATTTAGCTAGCACTAGCTCTCCAAATTTCCTTGCTAATGTCAAATATAAATAATATTGTACTCATTATTATAATATTATTGTGTGGAACTGGCTTGTGAAATTGACTCAGTTGATTCTTGTCACTTTGAATCAAAATCAGGGTCATCTCTCCACATCTCCAAAATTTCTTGTGGTGACTCTGTGTGTGTGTGTGTGTGTGTGTGTGTGTGTGTGTGTGTGCGTGTGTGTGTGGACCAAACAGTCCATTAGTGACCAAGAGCCCCTATTTAAAGGGCAGCATTACCGTAACGGTCTAGATTAAACCTTTTAAACCTTTTAAAGCTAAAGGTTTAGTTCCACCAGGTTTTTATTATTATTATTAATGTGATCTAAATATAGTAAATACTCTGAATCTGCACTGCTGTTCTCTTCTTTATGTAGATCTACCCAGAGCTACACTGACTGTAGAGCCCAAATGGAGTTTTGTGTTCACTGGAGAGTCAGTCACTCTGAAGTGTGAGATAGAGTCTTACAGTAACTGGAGATATCAGTGGTATAAAGGCAGCAATAGTACTGCAGTCAGTCAGTCTCAGACAAACACCTTCACCATCAGATCAGCAGAAGATCAGGATCAGGATCAGGATCAGTACTGGTGTAGAGGAGAGAGAGATAACAGACCCTCATCATCACAACTCAGCAATCCTGTTACTCTCACAGTGAAAGGTAAGATTACTGCTTTAATACTCTCACTGTAAAGGTTTAGGTAATTATGATCATTTAACTTTTGCAAAATTATTTTATTGGTATCAACATATATATTTTTAATATAATATATTAATGCTGTGTTTGGTGATATACATCCATCTGTATTTTTATTGTAAAGATTTGTCCAGTGGTTTCTAATCAGAGTTTTGATTTTTTTCCTCAACAACAAATAATCATAAATTTTATATATCTATATATATATATATATATATATATATATATATATATATATATTTATGTGTGTGTGTGTGTGTGTGTGTGTGTGTATTGTTTGGAAGATCATGAAAAGAATTTTAGATGGGATGTCTAGTCTCCAAATGAACAAATCAGTCTCCTCTGTTCTCACAGCTTTACCCAGAGCTACACTGACTGTAGAGCCCAAATGGAGTCCTGTGTTCACTGGAGAGTCAGTCACTCTGAAGTGTGAGATAGAGTCTTACAGTAACTGGAGATATCAGTGGTATAAAGGCAGCAGTAGCACTGCAGACTATCAGTCTCAGACAAACACCTTCACCATCAGATCAGCAGATCAGGATCAGGGTCAGTACTGGTGTAGAGGAGAGAGAGATAACAGACCCTCATCATCACAGCTCAGCAATACTGTTACTCTCACAGTGAAAGGTAAGATTTTTGAGTTTCACAGGGTGTGTTTTTTTTTTTCTTGTTTTGTTTTTGTTTTGATGGGATTTAAATGCAGTAAATCGCTGTGACAAAAACCTTTTATCTCCAAAAGTGTAACTTCACAGAAGAAGGACAAAACTTTCTTAACTTTCAGTGGAGGTTAATGGAACTCTATTTTAAGTCAGTGGAACACCTGCTTTTATTGTAGGATTTTAGTAACACAGAAACTCGGTAATAAATATTCCATTCAGAAGAAAAACAACTAATAATTTTCTCAGAGTTTCGTTGTGCCACTTTGATAAATATATTGTTCTTTACAAAGTAAACCCCTCAGTGTTGAATGAGCTCTTAAAAATGTGTTTAGTTGGACTGATATGAACATTGTAGGTGTTTTGTCAACGATGTGTCTGTTCAACACTTTGGACAAGAAAATATCATCAAACATATTTTTTACTGAGGATCAATTATTTTCTTTCCACAGAGAGACCAAAAGCTGTGGTGTCTATAAAGTCAAATGAAGAAGCGTTCAAAAGAGAGACTGTCACTCTCAGATGTGACATACAGGGAGAAGGTGTCTCTAACTGGCAGTACAGCTGGTTTAAAGATGATTCATACAGACCTGTCAGTAATGAAGATAACAGTCCCTAGGAATGTCAGAGTTCAGTATTGGGGAGTGGGGGTCAGGAACCTGTGTTTGGGTCCAAACTTTGTGTGTGGGGGGGCAGAAGGGGTGGGGGGCAAAGTAGGGAGAGAGTTGAACATCCTGACAACCTGGTGGATGAAGCTGTCCCCCAGTCTGCTGGTCCTGGCCCAGAGACTCCGCAGTCTCCTCCCTGATGGCAGCAGGCTGAAGAAGCTGTGTAGTGGGTGAGTGGGATCACCTGCCATGCAGAGGGCTTTCCAGGTGAGATGGGAGCTGTATATCTCTTGGAGGGAGGTGCCAACGATCTTCTCAGCTGCTCTCACGATGCGCTGGAGTGTCTTGCGGCAGCACACGGTGCAGGCGCCGTACCACACGGTGATGCAGCTGGTCAGTATGCTCTCGATGGTACCTCTGTAGAAGGTGCACATGTTGGGGGCTGGGGCTCTGGCTCTTCTCAGTTTGCGGAGGAAATAGAGGCGCCGATGAGCCCTTCTGGCCAGTGATGCTGTGTTGTTGGCCCAGGAGAGGTCCTCTGTGACATGCACGCCCAGGAACTTGGTGCTTTTCACCCTCTCCACAGCAGCACCGTTGATGGTCAGAGGAGCATGCAGGGTGCACGTTCTCCTGAAGTCCACAACGATATCCTTCGTCTTCTCAAAGTTCAGATGGATTGTTGTGTCTACACCACAAAGCCAGGCGGCTCACCTCACCCCTGCAGTTTGTCTCATCGTTGTTGCTGATGAGACCCACTACAGTCGTGTCGTCTGCGAACTTGATGAAGAGATTGGAGCTGTGCAACGGTGTGCAGTCGTGGGACATCAGAGTGAACAGGAGAGGGCTCAGTACACATCCTCGGGGGGGCCCCTGTGTTCAGTGTGATGGTGCGGGATGTGTTGTTGCCGGCCTGTACTGCCTGTGGTCTCCCAGTCAGGAAGTCTAACAGCCAGTTGCACAGTGAAGTGTTCAGCCCCAGCCTGACCAGTTTGAGAATGAGCTGCTGGGGGATGATGGTGTTAAATGCGGAGCTGAAATCTATGAAAAGCATTCTGATATAAGAGTCTTTTGTGTCCAGATGTGTCAGGGCTGAGTGGAGGGTGGTGGAGATGGCATCATCAACCGAGCGATTTGGCGATATGCAAACTGGAAGGGGTCCAGGGCGGGGGGAAGGACAGACTTGATGTTGTTGCATGACCAGCCGTTCGAAGCACTTTATGAGGATGGGAGTGAGTGCAACCGGACAGTAGTCATTGACACAGGAGGGTGCCGCTTTCTTCGGGACAGGGATGATGGTGGTGGCTTTGAGGCATGTGGGGACAGCAGTCTGACTCAGCGAGATATTAAAGATGTCTGTAAAGACATCTTCTGTGCAGGCATCTTGTTGTCTGCCTCAAACTGGGCGAAGAAGTTATTAAGCTCATTCAGCAGAGAGGTGGAGCTGTCACAGGTCTGCGACGGGGGCTTGTAGTCTGTGATAGTCGTGATGGTCTGTATCCCCCACCACAGGCTCCGTGTATCTCTGCTGTCGCTGAAGCGATGGGCTATCCTCCGGGAGTACTGCCTCTTTGCCTTTCTGATGCCGCAGGACGGGTTGGTCCTAGCTGCCCTCAGGCCCACCTCATCTCCTGCTGAGAAGGCAGCATTCCTGGCCTTCAGTAGCCTGTAGATCTCCTCTGTCAGCCATGGCTTCTGATTGGCCCGAACTGTGATGGTCTTGAGAACAGTTACATCCTCAATGCACTTGAAATTCGAAATGAAAAATCAACTTGGAGTCACTTCACCAGCAAATATGACCATCTAGAAGATAAAGAGTATTTAAATCTTTATTTCATCAAGTAGGTTTTTTCTGTATCTCTCCAAAAGTGCTTTGGAGTCATTTCATGGGTGTAGTGTAAATGCTGCTTAAGCAATAGAACACGAGAGGGAGTGTGTTATCGTGAAATAACATCATTGTGGTTACACATGACCACGAGTGTTCAATTGCTTTTATACAACAGTTAAATAAATAAAGTAGGAAATAAATAAACTGGGCTGTGAACGTGGAACTAACTGTTGTATAATTGCTGTTGACAGGACAGCAGATTAGAGTTTTACATGTGCTGAAAAACCTGATTACTAAAATCCAGCTAAAATCCAGTTCTCTACATCAGATTTCTTCAAATGATCTTAATTTGATCCATGGGGCAATTCAAGGATCAAAGCTTTAGGGGTACTGTGCACCCAATGAGACCCCTGGCGTTTTTTTTTCTCTTCATGTCTTCTATCATTCTGTAACATTAATTAGCTGCTACGCATACAGACAGTACTAGACTAGCACCGTGGCTTTAATGTCAACACATAGACCTACCAATGGCACAACAGCTGGCTTCTCTCACTCAATTCAAACAGTGGATGGTTGTTGATTGACAACTTGCAACATTAGCTTGCTAGATAAAAAACATCAGATAGGCAACAATAACAACAGAAAGAGTGATCTGAGATTCAGTGCAGCAAAAATGAGGACTGCTGCTAGTAACTGTAATGTGTTGGTGCTGAGTGATAAGAAATCCTCGTCTGTGCTACTTACTGGAGCCACCACACCACACAGTCACACTGTAACTGGCTCTAGAGCGCATGTATGTGTGTGTGTGTGTGCTCAGCGCAGCTACTGCATGGCTTCGGGAGAGGGGGGTGGGGAAGAGTAGGAGAGAGAACGTGGATCATAACATTTGCTTCTCAGAGATAAACTTCCATTTAAAAAAAAAAGACTTTTTACTCTTATCTTTAGGGGTGCGGGGACTCAGTTTAGGGGTGCTTGACAGGGACTAGACATGCCTGTGATTTGATCTAAGAAATCAGAGTATCCTGTTTACATGACTACTTGAATAACTGGATAACTACTCAAATCTGATAATGATTTTGATACTGATGTGCATGTAAATGCACTCATTGCCAGTTCATTGATAAAACATCTACCCAGCTGAAGGAACTAACAGAGGAGAATCAGAATACATCTTAAGCAGCCTCCGTTAGTCAGCTAAGTTCATTTAGCTAGCACTAGCTCTCCAAATTTCCTTGCTAATGTCAAATATAAATAATATTGTACTCATTATTATAATATTATTGTGTGGAACTGGCTTGTGAAATTGACTCAGTTGATTCTTGTCACTTTGAATCAAAATCGGGGTCATCTCTCCACATCTCCAAAATTTCTTGTGGTGACTTTTAAAGCTAAAGGTTTAGTTCCACCAGGTTTTTATTATTATTATTAATGTGATCTAAATATAGTAAATACTCTGAATCTGCACTGCTGTTCTCTTCTTTATGTAGATCTACCCAGAGCTACACTGACTGTAGAGCCCAAATGGAGTTTTGTGTTCACTGGAGAGTCAGTCACTCTGAAGTGTGAGATAGAGTCTCACAGTAACTGGAGATATCAGTGGTATAAAGGCAGCAATAGTACTGCAGTCAGTCAGTCTCAGACAAACACCTTCACCATCAGATCAGCAGAAGATCAGGATCAGGATCAGGATCAGTACTGGTGTAGAGGAGAGAGAGATAACAGACCCTCATCATCACAACTCAGCAATCCTGTTACTCTCACAGTGAAAGGTAAGATTACTGCTTTAATACTCTCACTGTAAAGGTTTAGGTAATTATGATCATTTAACTTTTGCAAAATTATTTTATTGGTATCAACATATATATTTTTAATATAATACATTAATGCTGTGTTTGGTGATATACATCCATCTGTATTTTTATTTTTATTGTAAAGATTTGTCCAGTGGTTTCTAATCAGGGTTTTGATTTTTTTCCTCATCAACAACAAATAATAATGAATTTTATATATATATATATATATATATATATATATATATATATATATATATATATATATATATATATATATATATATTGGTGGATCATTTAAAGAATTTTGCTATCATTCTTCTCTGTTCTCACAGCTTTACCCAGAGCTACATTGACTGTAGAACCCAAATGGAGTCCAGTGTTCAGTGGAGAGTCAGTCACTCTGAAGTGTGAGATAGAGTCTTACAGGAACTGGAGATATCAGTGGTATAAAGGCAACAGTAGCACTGCAGTCAATCAGTCTCAGACAAACACCTTCACCGTCACATCAGCAGCAGATCAGGATCAGGATCAGTACTGGTGTAGAGGAGAGAGAGATATCAGACCCTCATCATCACAGCTCAGCAATCCTGTTACTCTCACAGTGAAAGGTAAGATTTTTGAGTTTCACAGGGTGTGTTTTTTTTTGTTTTGTTTTGTTTTGTTTTGTTTTGTTTTTTTGATGGGATTTAAATGCAGTAAATCACTGTGACAAAAACCTTTTATCTCCAAAAGTGTAACTTCACAGAAGAAGGACAAAACTTTCTTAACTTTCAGTGGAGGTTAATGGAACTCTATTTTAAGTCAGTGGAACACCTGCTTTTATTGTAGGATTTTAGTAACACAGAAACTCGGTAATAAATATTCCATTCAGAAGAAAAACAACTAATAATTTTCTCAGAGTTTCGTTGTGCCACTTTGATAAATATATTGTTCTTTACAAAGTAAACCCCTCAGTGTTGAATGAGCTCTTAAAAATGTGTTTAGTTGGACTGATATGAACATTGTAGGTGTTTTGTCAACGATGTGTCTGTTCAACACTTTGGACAAGAAAACATCATCAAACATATTTTTTACTGAGGATCAATTGTTTTCTGTCCGCAGAGAGACCAAAAGCTGTGGTGTCTATAAAGCCAGATGCACAAGTGTTCAAAAGAGAGACTGTCACTCTCAGATGTGACATACAGGGAGAAGGTGTCTCTAACTGGCAGTACAGCTGGTTTAAAGATGATTCATCCACTCCGGTCAGTAATGAACAGCAGTACAGAATCAGCTCTGTTACAGAGACTAATGGTGGAAAATACACCTGTAGAGGAACAGAGAGAGAAACATCACGCTACTCACACACCAGTGAAGCTGTTACACTGACTGTATCAGGTGAGTGTGATCATCTCTTCAGTGTTCATTAATCTCAGTATCACAGCAATACAGATGAGACCAGATGTTTAGTTTAATAATAATAAAAAATAAAATAGTACATTTCCTGATGAAAATGCAGAGTGACTGCACAGCTGAAGCTTGTTGCTGGGTGGTTGCTGAGGTGTTTATAGGTAGTTGCTGGCATGAGGGGTGTGTTGTTAGGGGGTCGCTAAGTGGTTGCAAGTTGTTGTGAAAAATGAATTGCAGGAGTGCAGATTGTTGTTGATTAGAACTTGGGACCTGACCTGAGTGAGGACATGTAACTTGGTGGATGTCAGGCAACAGAAAGTTTAGGGATTGGGAGGGAGCAAAAATTAATGAGTGTATAGGAGGAACTAGGGATGAATAGGGATGAATAAACAACACATAGAGGAGTGCAGGTCAGTATAGCTGAGGATTAGAGCTTGAGAATCTGCCCTGAGTGAGTACATGTAGTTTGGTGGCTGTCAGACAAAGAAGTAATACAGCTTGAATGGGATCGAAAATGAATTAAACTCTATGGGAGAAACAAAAGCTGAAGAAAAAGACAAACAGATGAGTGCGGGTCAGAACAACATTGAATTTGTTCTCAGGGGGCCTGCCTTGAAACAGTATATGCAAAGCAGTGTCTTTTGGTCAAGCAGAATTACAGTAGATTGTCATTCAATTTTTGACTCCATTCATTCGTATGGGAAAAATGAGTAATTTAATGAAGGGTAAAGACAGAAATCTGACAGAAAAATAATGATAATAAGAAGAAGAATATGAATTGAAAAACATCAGTGTTGCACATTGCTTAGCAATGCACAATCACTAATAATAATAATAATAATAATAATAGTAATAATCATAATAATAATAACAAATAATTAGCTGTTAAACATGTTCACTGACTCACAGCTGAAGATCTGTAGCCGCTAGAGCTGAGAGTCGATCCTTTACTTTAGAATAAGAGAGAAACAAAGTAAAATGTAAAATTTGTTATGAAAAATCGACTTACAGTCACACAGCATTCAGTGCAGAAAATCAGAGTTTGTCAGTAATTCATTCAAAGCGTTTACATCATTTGGGTAATCAGATAATGGGAAAGCGCTGGGTTTACATTACTCAGGCAGTAATCATAATTATGCTTTGCAACTGGCCAGTAAATTCACAAAAAAAGTAACTGCTTTAACTGCTTAATGTATGCTAATGTCTAACTGTGCGAAAGGGCTTTATTTAGGCCAGTCCAATACTTCAGATTCATACAGGCAGGGGTCAAAGCACAGGCAGGAAATTTCAGAGACATATCCCCAGTCAAAAAAACAGAAAGACAAAGCAGAGGTGAAAACCAGGAAACTATGCAAAGAAAACACAGCTTGGTACTCAGTGATACAACAGAGACTTTGCAAACCAACATTTCAAACTAAGGGGTGTATGTAATGGATGTATTCAATCCAGAGAAAGAACTGCAGGTGTGAGCAAATGTGATGGGAGTAGGCGGACCCAGGGAGAGTCCAACATGACAAACTGGGCTAAGCTGACATTTAATTGGGTATAAAACAGCAGCAGGAAAAATATTTCTCTTTAAAGTTGTTTCATGCTTATAAATATACAAACCCATTTCCAAAAAGGTTGGGACTTTGTGCAGAATATAAATAAAAATAGAATGCAATAATATACAAATCATGTAAACCATATTTTGCAAACAGTACAAAGACAACATATCAAATGGTGAAACTGAGAATTTTTTTGTTTTTTGAAAAAAACTTGCCCATTTTTAATTTAATGCCAACAACACGTTCCAAAAAAGTTGGGACGGGGCATGTTTACTACTGTGTTTCATCACCTCTTCTATTAACAACACTCTGTAAGCGTTTTGATAAACTGAGGAGACCAAATGCTGTAGTAGTTTTCCCATTTTTGTATGATACAGGAGTTCAGCTGCTCAACAGTTCGGGGGCTCATTTGTTGTATTTTTCATTGAATAATGCAGCAAATGTTTTCAGTGGTAACAGTTTTGCACTGCAGACAGGCCAGTTTAGCACCCGGACTCTCTTACTGTGGAGCAAAGCTGCTGTAATACACGCATAATGTGGTAACCTTCATGAATACTGGCTTTTGAACTGTGCACTGATATCAAGTTTAGTGGTCTTCAGCCCAGAGGACACAGTGTCCATGATTTTCAAAAAGAATTTCAAATGTTGATTTGCCAGTCCAAAGGACACTGCTTTGCCTCAGTCCATTTTAAATGAGCTCAGGGCCCAGAGAAGGTGGCAGCATTCCTGGATCCTGTTTATATGTGGTTTCTTTTTTGCGTTTAAGAGTTTTAACTTGCATTTGTGGATGCAGCGACGAACTGTTTTCACGGACAGCAGTTTTCAAAAGTGTTCCTGAGCCCATGCAGTGATTTTGTCTACAGATTTGTGTCTGTTTTTAATGCAGTGCTGTCTGAAGGCCCAAAGATCATGGCCAGCAAATACTGTTTTTTGACCTTGCATACAGAGATTTCTCCAGATTCTCTGAATCTTTTAATGTTATTATACACTGTAGATGATGAAAAGCAAAAGATCTTTGCTATTTTACATTGAGAAATGTTATTCTTGAATTGTTGCACTATTTGCTCATGTAGTCTTTCACAGAGTGGTGAACTCCTCCTCAGCTTTACTTCTGAAAGACTGAGCCTCTCTGGGATGCTCTTTTTATACCAAATCATGTGATTGACCTGTTGCCAATTAACTACCAGGTTTTTTTTTAGCATTACACAACTGTACCAGCCTTTTGTCACCCCTGTCCCAACTTTTTTGGAATGTGTTGTTGGCATTAAATTCAAAATGGGCATATATTTTTCAAACAACAATAAAATTTCTCGGTTTCAACATTTGACATGTTGTCTTTGTACTATTTTCAGTGAAATATAGGGTTTAAATGATTTGCACATCATTGCATTTTGTTTTTATTTATATTTTGAACAGTGTCCCAACTTTTTAGAAAATGGGGTTGTACACAGTGGGATCATTTACTGAAGCATTTACATGTCCAATCATGAAATCTTTCATCTATTATTAGTAGTATTAATATCAGTATTAGTATTACAATTGTTTATTTATATAAACATTTTATTCAGTATCCTCACATTTATATCTATGCTTGAGCAAAATACTGAAAAAGTAGTGATGGCTGAATACTGAATACAATGTCCAAAATGTATTCAGTAACATATTCCATTACAATATATAAAGAGTAATGTATTCAGAATAAATTTAGAATGCATATTGATAAGGCACATGGGAAAAACCCTGCTGTAATTAGTTCACACTGTTCCCTGCTGCTACTGGTTGGCAGTTTTCTTTATCTGATTATTCTGTTAATATGTTGCATGGAAAATTTGTTTACCATTTAAAAATTAAGTTCTGAAATTCTTTTTCTTTTCTTTGCCATCACCTGCTTCAGTCCACTGCTGCTCCACAATCCCCAGAGCAAGAGTCCGGTACAACACAGACGCTAAATTTATCACACACAAACATGTCCACTACTAAGGAGATCACTAGTGTGATCATCCCTCAAGGGAGCTACTAATTTGGAGATTAATGACTGACTCATCACATTGATTTATCAATCTACTCAGGCTTTAGCAGGAACGTCCATGTTTGTAAAGAAGCTTTTAATTGAGGTCCTCTTTAGAGTTCATCCAATGAGCCTGTTTGCTACATGCTATGTGCTGATTTTAAAATAGTTAATAAACAAGGACTGATGGTGTGCTTTTCCTCTATGTAGATTGGAATATTTTCAATGTATTTAGCTGTCAATTATGCTATAGCTTTCAAATTGTTTTGTTTCAGGGCACAAACCTTCTTTTACTTTTGAGTGCCACCCCATTTAGTGGCAAAACGAACGTTTTAAGCATTCAGTCATGTGGTCTAACTTTGTGGGATCAGATAGAGAGCTGATAAAGGTTGAGAAATCTGTCAGGTTTTCACAATAAAACTACTTGATCAACTGCAATAAAACTATGTTGACACCAAGGATCAAAATCAAATCAATAGTGCTGCTGTAGTATTAAAATATGCTACAATTACTGCTTGATCAGTAGTGAATACTAAATTTGATAGGATGTTAGTAAGAACTCAGTAAGAACTCAGAATAAGACCCCGGTGACCTAAAGGTAGATCAGTTGTATGACAAAAGAAAAAAAATTTCATAGGAGAAGAAATTGTAATATGTTTTATGGTTTATGACTACAACATTGGAATAAGTAGCTGTTATCCCTCCTTCTTGGCCGTTGAAGCAATGGCTGTGTTCATAATTGTAGCCAGGGCTGTCAATCCTGATCAGAAACAATTTCTGGTTTTGTTTGATTCAGGGAACAGACACAGTCTCAGTAGGGTGGGACCTATGTGAAATTTCAAGGCAGTGAATGTATTATGAAAAAACATAGACTAAAAAAGTTTTGTTCCAACAGCAACGATATACAGGTTTACATGTTCATAGACATAGACTCATTTTACGATACGTCACACATTCTATACTAAGTTTTCATTACTATCATTATGTTTACTGGGGTGGGGGGAAAACTCGATTCTTAGATGCATCGCGATGGACGATTCTGAATGGATTCACAAATACCAAAAATCGGTTTTCTAAATTGTAATTGATAATGTAACGTAATGTTGACGGAACTTGGATGTGTGGAAGTGCAGCGCCCGGACAGTCTGTGGCGGCACATAACAAAACCACAAATAATGAGCGAGAAATCTGACGGGCACCGTCTGCATTAAAAGCTAGGTTAGGTCAGGAGTCACAACCCAAATGTTAAGAAGAGTCATTTTATCCTTTCAACAAAAGTCAAACCACCTTGGGAGCCACAACATTTTATGTCCAGTATGTCTCAGTAGGTGCTGATGTCCTAGCATAGGCTATTTAGCTGCTTTCCTCCCATCTCCGCCAGAAAACTTTTCCTCAAAAGTTGAATAGTTTCTTGTAAAATGTCTCTCAACGTTCGACTG